AAATCTCCCACTGATCTCTCTAGCAAACTCTCATCCTTTCTCACTTGGCACGGTCTTATATTGGAGCTCTCTATTTTTCAACCGAGAAAAGACATCCTTATATAATGAGGTAGTTTAAAGCATCAAGTATGTTGAATTCCATCTAGTTGGACAATCAAGTCCTAATTTCTTAGTATGTGGATTGCACAATTGATTGACTGTTTTTTCAAATTTTTCTTGTCTTTTAGGTGTTGCTGTCCAATAAGCGACATTCTCCCTAATTTTCTCTATACCCAGTTGTATGACATCTAGTCCATCTTTGACAATCAAATTCAAAATATGCGTACAACAACAAAGTACCACCCAACAGAAGCGATGTATTACTCAACTTATCCATTAATATGGTAATCTTGGCATCATTTGTGGAGCAATTATCAACAGTAACAGAAGAAATTTTTCTGTCAATATTCCAGTCCATCATACACTCAAGCAAAGTATCATAAAGAATTTCTTTTGTGTGTGGACATGGAACATAAATAAACCTAAAATACAATATTCATGAACAATTATTAATAACATGCAAATTGAACTGAATAAGATAGAACTTCAAAATGATTTGCAAATTTACAAATATATACCTCAAAATGTGACTTTGCAATGTTCATGAATCATTAATAAAGTGTATTATGACAGTCATGAATCCTTTCTTTTGTATTAGTAGTCCATATATCAGTAGTGATTGCCATCCTACTTTTATTATTCTTCACCAAACTCAATGTCTTCACCCTCTCAGCATCATAAATATTTAAAATATCACTCTTTATTATATTTCAATAAGGTACTTTAAACAATGGTTGGAGTGCCGCTGAATATCGTTTATAACCAAGATGATCTACGATAGAGAGGGGATATTCATGTAATATTATGGCATGTGACAACTCTTTCCTAGAAAAATCTTGATCAAAAATATAGGAATTCATTTTTGAACTCTCTCTATTAAAGTTGTTAGTCAAAACTTTTTGCCTCATGTCCATCACTTTTTTCCTAGTACAACTCTTATAGTGATCATGCAAATGCCTAATTCCATTTTTCAAATCACTTTCAAGATACTTATTACAACAATTACATATTGCCTTCCACACTCCATTGACTTGTTGTTTCTTAAAGTGTTCCCACACAATACTAGGTTTTCTTTTAGTTCTTCCACAAGTATTAGACTTCTTCTAAATCAATAACATTTTTATTAGAGAGGGAAGATGGTGAGTTGGTAGGTGAATTGGTAGCTGACGCTGATTGTTGTGAGGCCTCACTCTCAATTTGTACTTGAGAGTTAACTGGTACTTGAGAGTTAAAATATGACATTTTTAACCTTTATAAAAATAACATGAATGAATAAACAGAGGCAACAATATTGCTCAAACATACACAACACAAATTGCACAAATTAAGGGAATGGGGGCATAAATGCTTTTGTTGGCTATTGTTTAGTTTCCTTTTCCATTATGTTCCAAGTTCATCTATTTTCCAACACCATATAGATTCTTTCTTTTCAAGCAATAATCAAATTAAGATATGTAAATTTAAAATAAAGAAAATACTGAAGGAGATACTGCCATATCAAATTAAAGAAAGTGATATGTTGATTATATTATAACCAAAATGATAGATGTGTGTATGGTGTATGCACAAAACAAACTAATCCACATGAAATGCCTAGATTTATTAATGTCCCTTAACTTGCATTACAACTCACATGATCAACCTCCCTCACCTTGTGCTTGCTTTCACACATGAGGTAATTACTGGTGATAATTGAAAGAGTATCACTTAAAAGGCAACCAGGCAGCAATTTGCATATAATAAAAAAAAAAATTGCATCTATATATACAGACACGCATACAGAAACACGACAAGTTGCTTTTTTTTATTTAGGGTTAGAACCGAGGGCATCAAGCGCCCCAACCAATCAATGGAACTCAGCTCCCAGCCACACACATTCATATTATATATATAGTACCAGATCCCACTAAAATGGCAACAAATTAGGTAGTGAATCGAGACAGATTTGAAGGAAAATTGAGTACCAAATCACTTAAAATTATATATATATATAGTACCAGATCACTTAATTTAATTTTATTTTTTTAAAAAAAATCCAAGTAGAAAAACCAATATTTGAAGGAAAATTGAACTGGATTTTTATCTAAAACAAACTCCCAATCTAAAGACGACCGTCCAACCGATTGCAATCTCCATTGTTATCTTCAATGTCCAACCCAACCTAGTATGTGGATTGCACAATTGATTGACTGTTTTTTCGATTTGAGCTGAAATTTACCAAAAAACATTGAATCAACAAAGGAGGCTTCATTAAAGGGACATTTACAGAGATAAATCGAGGTATAAAGCGAGATCTTCGAATAAAAAGCCAAGATTAAAATACAAACCCTAACTCTCGATGAGGGAGAATGGAGAGAGGCGATCCAAGAGAGAGAGAGAGAGCCGGTGGGGGAGAAGGGGGACGCCGGCGGTGAGGGAAGAGCAAGCGACGCCAATGATAAGGGAGGAACAGAGCAGAGAAAATGCAATTATGCGATATGTGAACCTAACCTAACCCTAAATGAGTCAAAAAAAATAAAGAGACACATATATAGAGAAGAGTATAATAATAATTTCAATTTGGGAAAAACTGGGCCAAGGACGGGTTGAGTCCGGGATTGGGAAACGTATTACTGTACTCGACCAAAAAATTGTCGAGGATTGATTTTCGAATACCATTCCCGGCCTATCAAAGATATTTATCAAAAAAACACCATTCTAATCTAGATCGGGGAACGGGTCTCCATTGGGTCGGGTTCAAATCCACAGACCTATTAGTATTGATGAGTAAAGAAGAAGTCTAGAGACCAAACTTAAAACCCTTAGATTTTTTTGGGATAAAAAATTATGTGATAGAGATTAAATTTGTATGGTATAAAATCTATATATAAAATAAATCTAAACTACACTGTAATAATTCTGAGTAATTTGTAAATAGTTAAATTTAAATTCATAGTATTGCTGAATGAGTAAAATAATCAGCCGCAAAATATAAAATATTTTTTTTTTTTCTTGAAAAATATATTTTTTTTTTGCACAAATTAAGGGAATGGGGGCATAAATGCTTTTGTTGGCTATTGTTTAGTTTCCTTTTCCATTATGTTCCAAGTTCATCTATTTTCCAACACCATATAGATTCTTTCTTTACAAACAATAATCAAATTAAGATATGTAAATTTAAAATAAAGAAAATACTGGAGGAGATACTACCATATCAAATTAAAGAAAGTGATATGTTGATTATATTATAACCAAAATGATAGATGTGTGTATGGTGTATGCACAAAACAAACTAATCCACATGAAATGCCTAGATTTATTAATGTCCCTTAACTTGCATTACAACTCACATGATCAACCTCCCTCACCTTGTGCTTGCTTTCACACATGAGGTAATTACTGGTGATAATTGAAAGAGTATCACTTAAAAGGCAACCAGGCAGCAATTTGCATATAATAAAAAAAAAAATTGCATCTATATATACAGACACGCATACAGAAACACGACAAGTTGCTTTTTTTTATTTAGGGTTAGAACCGAGGGCATCAAGCGCCCCAACCAATCAATGGAACTCAGCTCCCAGACACACACATTCATATTATATATATAGTACCAGATCCCACTAAAATGGCAACAAATTAGGTAGTGAATTGAGACAGATTGGAAGGAAAATTGAGTACCAAATTTGAAGGAAAATTGAACTGGGATTTTATCTAAAACAAACTCCGAATCTAAAGACGACCGTCCAACCGATTGCAATCTCCATTGTTATCTTCAATGTCCAACCCAACCTAGTATGTGGATTGCACCCCCCCCCCCCAAAATAAAAAAAAGAGAGGATTTTGAACTGAAATTTACCAAAAAACATTGAATCAACCAAGGAGGCTTCATTAAAGGGACATTTACAAAGATAAATCGAGGTATAAAGCGAGATCTTTGAATAAAAAGCCCAGATTAAAATACAAACCCTAACTTTCGATGAGGGAGAATGGAGAGAGGCGATCCAAGAGAGAGGGAGAGCCGGTGGGGGAGAAGGGGGACCCCGGTGGTGAGGGAGGAGCAAGCGACGCCAACGATAAGGGAGGAACAGAGCAGAGAAAATGCAATCATGCGATATGTGAACCTAACCTAACCCTAAATGAGTCAAAAAAATAAAGAAACACATATATAGAGAAGAGTATAATAATAATTTCAATTCGGGAAAAACGGGGCCAAGGACGGGGACGGGTCGAGTCCGGAGTTGGGAAACGTAATACCGTCCTCAGCCCAAAAATTGTCGAGGATTCATTTTCGAATACCATCACCGGCCTATCAAAGATATTTTTCAAAAAAAAAACCATTCTAATCTAGATCGGCGGACGGGTCTCCATTGGGTCGAGTTCAAATTGCCATCCCTACTAGCATGCACAGGCCTATTAGTATTGATGAGTAAAGAATAAGTCTGGAGACCAAACTTAAAACCCTTAGATTTTTTTGGGATAAAAAATTATGTGATAGAGATTAAATTTGCATAGTATAAAATCTATATATAAAATAAATCTAAACTACACTATAATAATTCTGAGTAATTTCCAAATAGTTAAATTTAAATTCATAGCATTGCTGAATGAGTAAAATAATCAGCCGCAAAATATAAAATATATATTTTTTTTCTTGAAAAATATATTTTTTTATTTTATTTTATTTGAGATAATATTAGAACTAATTTTACTTATCAAATAATATTAACTTTACTATATTACTAAAGTTGACTTTATTTATTACACAATTTAATCAAGAATTAAAATCTACTTTCCATTAAAATTGATCCTACCCACTACACCATATTTTCAAATTATGAAATCTACTTAACACTGAAATCGATCTCACTCGCCACGTAATCCTAGGGGAAATTATTCCTCCAGAAGCCAGAGAGAAATTATTTAAATAAAAGCGCTATTCACAGCAAGTTAATATATATTCCAAACATCCATTGGTATGGTTCTTGACATATTGTCCAGATTAAAATTATAAAATCCCAAAAACATATCCATGCAAACAACAGCTATATAATATTTTTATACCACAATTCATTACACACGAACCAAACTTTATTTAAATTTTGACTGATTATATGTTGAAAGTCAGGTGGTTGGTTTGTGGACTACGTGTGTTCCTTAGTCATCAATTGCCAGAGGGACACTTTTTACCTGAAACATAGAACAAAACAGAACATAACAGTGAAATTTCACAAAGTGCCGTCAATTTTATGTTGTATCAAATCCCCGATAAAACATTAATAATATCATTTTTACATATCCAGATGTATAGGATATGATCTGCGGTTAGTCATCTGATGTAAGAGAGGGGAGGGTTTGGGAGCTCACCAAATCACGGAACTTGAGAATGTAGAACATCTCTATATATCGCCTAGTTTCACGCCTCTCCAGTTTTGAAACATACTTCCAGAAACCATAAACTCCAGCCAATGTCATTAACCTTTCCGAGTAAATCATCCATGTATACCTACATCATTATTAAAACTCCCTCAATAAGATTCATTATCAGTTTATTTTTTTTGTTTTTTTTAGGTGCAACTTAGTAATTGAGCCTTATTCAGTAATGAACTAACCTCTCGTAAATTCTTTGAAGGCCAGCTTGAGAGATTTTTTCCCAGTAGCTGGGATCCTCTTTGCAACGTTCAAAAGAATCTACTAAAAGTGCAGCAACCTTATCAGGGTGATAAGGATCAATATGGAACCCCGATACACCATCTTCAATAATCTCCGCAGGACCACCATGACATGTGGCAAATGTTGGTAGACCACAGGTCATCGCCTCAACAACGGTAAGCCCAAAGGCTTCATAAAATGCAGGCTGATATTACAAAAATGAAGAGTCAGCCAAATGGATGAGTCCTAAATTTGATAAAGAAATAGATGTGAGTTTATACCTGCACGAAAGCACCTCTCTTGTCGGCTATGTAGCGATAGAGTTCACCATTGCGTGCTCGATTTGTTTGGGCTGATATCCATCGGAACTGGCCCTCCAAGTGGTGAGTCTTCATAAGTTCGTGCATCTTCTCAATTTCCGCGATTTCTTCTCTGTCATTGGATTTCTTCACATCATTGTAACCCGCTACCACAACCAGGTTTGCCAGTTCCCTCAGTTTGGAATTTTTAGCGTAGCACTCTACCAGCCCTGTGATGTTTTTCACCCGGTCAAGCCTTGCCATTGAGAAAATTATTGGTTTTGACGGATCACTCAATGTTCCACTGCATCAAGCAAGATAGAAATACAAGTTAATGACATTTTACATCCTCTTAGAAGTTAATGATTCAATTACAAAAAGTAGAATCAAGAAGTAACTCACATGTGCTCGTCATTCTGCGTGGGATCATATAACAATTTTTCAATTGAACCATGCAGGGATGTGAGTCTTTTCTCCTTTTCAGAGTATGGAAAGTAAATGCACATATCTGCTCCAGGAGAGACAATATTGAACTTAGGATCAAAAACATCAATGCCATGGACAACTCGGTACAGGGATGGAAGGGTGAAAGCTGTATGGCTCTCGTACTGCCCAACGGTATTCTTTCTAGAAAGAAAAAATAATATAAGATAGTTAAGCTGCTGAGCATTAACTTCAGTTCATCACTATTGCTACCATTTAGAAGGCAAAAAAAAAAAGAGAAGAGTTAAATCATATATTCAGAGAAGTAGTTTGACAAATGCAACTCCCAATGATGGTTGTGGCAATGCATATGAACTTGCTATGGTAATTAGAAGACAGGCCAATCAAAGACACAAAAGGCTCAACATTTTGGAGAATTACATAAAACAATGAAACAAATAATCTTGTTCCTGAAAAACAAGGGAGCAATGTAAGAATAATCAGGACGCTACGATGCAAACTCACTTTCTGCTATGGATTCAAAGGTAAATGAAAGGCTACATGCAACTTACATCACTAGAAAACATCAAATCCAATCAACAATCATTTGACTTTTATTTTCTGAAGAACCATTTAAACTGCCTATAGAGGTTCTGTAGAGGAATGCATTGCAATCCTCAATCTACAAAATGAGGTCATTTTTAGTAATGTAACATCCATATTTTATCCTCTGTTGTACAGTGAAATTAGCATTTACAAGCAAACAAAATTGATGGTTCTCAATCACTTAGCAAGGCCTTAAAAACAACAACAAAACTATGTTTTATATTGAAGGATTTGTTACCGTAAAAATATACACCTCAGCTTGAGGATTTGTTACCATAGGGAAGCTCCTTACACAGGCTCAGGCTCATTAGAATCACAATTTCTCAACAAAACTACGTTTTTTTTTTCCTACTAAGATGGGCAAGGTCACACCCGCCTCCTCCTGTATCCATGATTCTAGATCCTACCAGATAAAGAGACATACGGCAATGGTGACTCTTCGGATTGATAAATAAATCCTGAAGGTGTCATTGGTCTGCTCGAAATTATGTTTCTTTTGCTTCAACATATATTAAAGGTACTACGACCCTCTTCACTTCTCTTCTGAATTTTTGTAGACTTGCATATCCTTTCAAGATCTAATTAAAATAAAATGGATTGCTAAATAAAAATCAAGCACGATTAGACTCCATGGCAACTCCAAACAAGGAGTAGTTATGCAACTAATCCCACCTGTTATTTAAAATATTCCTATGCATCTAGTGGTTGCACAGTGACTGAAGAGACCCCGATTTAAATCAGAGACTTCATGATAGATAGACAACAATCATGAAAATCTTAACAAGGCAAAAGAGACTTACGTTCCTGCAATCTCTTGGTATGTACTGGTTATGATAAAATCTGAATTGTTCATGGCAATTAGATCAGCAGTAAATTGACACGAGAAGTGGTATTTATCCTCAAAATTTTTCCAATATATGTCAGAATCTGGATATTTTGTTTTCTCCAAGGCATGCGCAATGGTGCACTGCAAAAACATTTTTTAAAAATCCACAGCAAATAATTGATGAACTTTGTATTCACAAAACAAGGAAAATTTAATATTACTGCTGACCTGTGTTACTCCCATCTTTTGAGCCAACAAAGATGCAACAAGATTCCCATCACTGTAGTTGCCAATAATCAGATCTGGCACACCCTGCAACTCAGCAGCAATTTCACTAGCAGCATCCTGAAAACAAAACACAGAACAGAATGAATGTTACTTCCAAAAGTATATAATAGGGTATGATGGTGGCGAAGGTAGCAATACAGCAACACAGGAATAGCAGTGGTGATGGTAGAATAATACATCAAGCAACAAATATCTCTGATAGTGTCAGGCCTTGATTCTCTCTCTCACACACAGAGACCACCCAGAAGAAATATTTTATTCACTCAGAAATCAAATTCAGTTAGGCCTCACTAGAATCAAAGTCCCGTATGCTTAAATCAAGATGTATTATGGACTGGTGTGTCTTGTTATGTTACAATAATCAAAACCAACACACAAGTAGACAACAATGATCATACCATCAGGTTTCAACACACAAAAAAATTCTCATTTGGGAAAAATTGTGATTAAATAATCATGTAGGCAAAATTAAGTAATCATTTTTCAACTTTCTAATCTGTTACATGACAGACGTATAGATGTTAGGTAGTCCATCAATGGCAATTTCCCTCAAAAGAACCAATAAAAGATGTCATGTACCACAATTTTCAATATGTACATAAAAACTTTAATTGCTAATTCAATTTTACCTCTGTAAATTTCTCTAGATAAGGCCATACATCAAACCTTGAGATCCATTTACGAAGAATTCCCTTCTCTGTTTTAAAAGGAACTCGCAGAATATGTGAGTACTCAGTTCCGCTGATTCTTTCAAGCCGCTGGTTGCATGAAGTACCTTTTGCATCAGGGATTAATCGTGTCACCTTAAACAAGTGAACATTGTATCACATCTCCAATGAGAAATATGACGTATATTTATAGACCAAGTGGGCAAATTAAATGTAGGCAAAACCTAATTGTATTTATTGAAGAGATTGACTTAGACTTACAACAAGAATTCTAGGAGTTACATCCAGTCCCTGCTGCTTTATTCTCATAAGCATTTCATGCTCAAGGGCACGCACTTGATCCAGTATGTACACAACCTGCACGACAATCAAAATAAAAAATTAAATTTGTTTATCATTTTCATAATTTATGATTAACAAAAAATTCTTGATTGCATAAGTGGCAATTATCATTATTTACTAACCATGAACAAGAAAATTAGTCAAAACAGCATGGCAAATGAAGACATGAAAGCATGAAGTCCATTTTTCAAATATTGCAGGATTTATGCAGGTAAAAGAAAAATATATATAATATACCATACCTGGCCACCAGTGTCAGGCAAACCTAAAACATTTGCTTGGCCAAAGTACCCATGTACAGACAAAATGACAACATTAAACACCATTGGTATTCTACCAAGAAACGTCTCCAAGGAAGAGGGATCTGGAGCTTGGAGGATGTCCAAGAGAAGATGCATCATCTCCAAAACCCGTTTCGCAGTATCACCCCAACCTCTCTCAAAGCCCAATGCTTGCAAGCTGCATGCCAGTGATAATTTAAAATGTCAAGCAATTAAAAACTCCTAATATGAATCTAAGAACTTGGAATGGATGCGCGTACAAATAGAATCTTACTTATGTTCGAACCCAGAATAAGGTGTATCTGGAGGTAGCTTAGAAATATAATCCTCTGCTTTAGCCAATGCAGACTGAAGTCTGGGTATGCTATACATTCGATCATTCAACATCATTGCCTACACATTAGGAGATTAAAACATCAAACTTTGTGGAATCATCTCACCTAAAGTAAAGATAATACTTCAAAATTAACAGCAGGGATAGGTTTGTCAAACAGATGCCCTATTAGCTGAAAATCTTGCACAATTTAAAGAAATAAATATGTTGTTGATGATAATCAATTGCGGGATTTTGAAATTCAAAGGAAACACATCTTATATTTCAACACATTAACATTACTTCCAATAGAAATTTGCTAACGAGAAGACCGCATTTAGACCAACTTACATGCCCTTTATGATTATGTGCTCGGAGGAAATCAAGTAATGGCTCCAAAGAATCTCTATTGCGGAACATGATTGAGGAGAGGTGTCGGTTAAGAAATTGAACACCATTGCCAATGGATGAAGACCGGGTTGGGCGGGGAAATGTCGCATTGAAGGGCTCAAAATCAAGCTCAAGCACATAATTGTCATTGGCCCTGGCCCATTTTAAAATCCCCACACAAAAAACAAATAACATACAATCAAAAAATAAATTAATAATCAAGAAGTACTCAGCTGCCAGAAGCAAACATGTAAATAATTACAATTAAATTTTCTACAAATATAACTCAGAAAAAGAATAGAAGTCACTCACAGCCCATCTACAAGATCTTCTTTGAAATGAAGATATTCTGAAACACTTAACTGCTCCACACTTAGTTCATAAACATTAAAGCGTACATATTCCCAAACACCTGGCCTGGGACGAACTGCGATAGCCACAAAGGGAGGTAGAACTATGGCTTCCTACAACCAAAAATAAAGCAAGAATCTAAGGAAAAAAAACTAAAAAAACAAAAGGGAAAAAACTGAAGAAAAAGAAGCAGAAGTACATAGCATGCAGTATTCCCAACACCCACTTGTTATCACTGTCTATTGAGGAGAAAAAGAAACGATATTTTAGTAGCCTCATACAATTACAAAAAATCTTGGGGTAACTTGGCAACTAGTCTAATATGCAACAAGTCAACAGTTAATGACTGTGATCGCAGTCTAGAGAAGCAACTTTGATGGTTGTAAAACCATACAAAACACAGAGGATCACCATAATTCACCAATTTTTTTCACCATTTTACATCACCGGGTGGCAAGATGTTATTTACTTTTAATGATTATTTCAAAAAAATAAAAAAATTAATCATGGATATCTCCGGAGTGATACAAAACAGTGGCCAAAAAAAAAAAACACATTTCTCTATCACATAGTCATGACAAATTCATATAGAACAAGCTCAGAAGTCATCCCATATAAACCTAAAACCATTGATTTAACCCAAAACATGATATTGTGAACTTGAAACTTAAATTCCCAATCATGAAACTATTTCAGATCAAAGGAAAGAAGCCTAATGCTTTATTTGGACGAGAAAAAGGTAAAGAAAAGAAAATAGAACTTATGTAAATTTCATTCCTAGTCAACTTTGAGTAATTGCAAAAATACAATAACAGAAAACAAAAAATAATCGTAATACAACAAAATACTCCAACATAATTGCAGTTTACATTTCCTTATTAAAAAGTTTAGTTTGAATTACGGAGTGAGAAAAGAAAATAAATAATTGTAGTGAGCCGCATCTAAGTGACAAAAGAAAATATATATTTAACACTAAACTGTAAAAAATAAAAAATATTTGATAGAGAGATATGAAATGAATTTAATTTTAATAAAAAAAATATTGATATTATAAAAACTACACATTTAATCAATTTATTTGTCATTAAACAAAACTTACAAAATAAGTCTTTTCTTGCACGTTCCGTTTTTTTTTACTGTATTGAAGTAAAATGTTAAAACTATTTTACTTATTTTCATTTTGTTCGGTTGGACAAAAGGAAAAAAATATTTTACATCAATTTTTTCAAAAAATAACTGATCTTTAAAAATTCCCTAATGCCGCATTTGGTTAGGGATTTAAACAAAAAAAAAAAAGAGATTTAAACAAAACAAAAAAAAAAAAAAAAAAAAAGAGAGTGAGAGAGAAAATATAAACTGCATAAGTCAATTTTCATATCCTTACCTTTTTTTAATATATTTAACATTTTCAAATAAATATCTTATCTCACTAAAAAAAAACTCTTTATTGAATCAAATTTCTCTTTTAAGCACAGAAAAATAAAAAATATATATCTGTGTAAAATCAATTTAAAAAAAGAAAAACATTTTTTTGTATAAATTATGTCGAAACAAACGAGCCTCAATTTCTCAGTATTTTCCAGTTTTATAACTTACAAATCAGAAATACTTATCATTCTGATAATTTCTTATCAAAATCACATGATCCAAGCAGAGTGCGAGTGAAACCCAAAGCCAAATTAGACATACTAATATTTGATTGCGATGATCTCTGTGATCCAATTTTGTAAAACTTTACAGAGAAAGTTTGGAAAGAAGGGACGAAGATTCACCTGAGCGGACTTGAGGACTTCGCTGAACGGGCCATCGATGAGCGCTTTGTCATCGCCGATGATGTTTTCAAGCTCGTCGATCAGATGATGAGGTTGCAATATTCCCTTTCCCTGAGCCACATACCTTATACACACAACATCCCGAGAGAGTCGGTCCGATTGGTTACCAGGAAAATTAAAAATCAAAAAAGAAAATAAATCTTACGATCTTATAGAAAAAAGAAAAGAAAACCTGGAGAGAAGAGAGACGAGTTCGTTGCGGTGAGCAGAGAGGGTGTCTTCGACCCTCTCTCTCAAGCTGGGCATTCGCGCTAATTTTGGAGTCGTCATTGATTTTGATTTTGATTTTTGGCGAGTCTGAGAGTTGTGCGAATGAAATCGAAGTGATGATGTGAGAGAAAGAGAAAGAGAGAGTGGAAAATTTATAGAGTGAGGAGAGAGCGAGAAAGAGAGAGAGAGAGAGAGAGGACGGTGGGTTTACACGGTTTACGGCATCTTTATCTTCATCTTCTTCATCAGAGATAATGGTTGCTTAAGAAATTGTTATTTTAGTAATTATTTTATTTTTATATACTTAAATTTTTGTATTTAAATTAATGATGAGATTTTTTTATAGTTCTATTTGTGTCTTAAAAAAATAAAATAATTATAAAATTAATATGATATTTTATTTTATTAATTATTTTAATTTATTTTATATTTTTATGAATTTTAGGTTTCGTTTGGGAACAAACTAATTTAGTAATTTTTTAGTTATTTAGTTAAAATATGAGTAAAAAAACTAGTATGTTTAAGATGATTTTTTGATTTTTTACAAAAAAATATGCAAAACGTAGAGAGAGAAATTTTTTTTTAACTTTTTAATATAAATTATTGATTTTTTAATTGTTTTACTTAAAAAAATCAATTACTAAACGAAACCTTAGGCCTCGTTTGGGATGCTACCATTTTAGTCAATTAGTCAAAAAGTTACTAAATTAGTCAATTAGCCAATTAGTCATACTAAAAAGTCAACAATTACGGCTTCTCTCTACTTTTTGCACAGCTTTTCGTAATTAGTCAAAAAATCATCCCAAACAAACAAAAAAAATTTACCTACCTTTTTAACCAATTAACTAAAAAATTACTAAAATAGCCTGTTCCCAAACAAGGCCTTAATATAAAAAAAAATAGGCCAAACCAAGTTGCCAAACACCGCAATAGAGACGCTGAGAAAGTGAGAGGTCCTCTCTAGGATGACAGATGGCTCGCTGTTTCGCCCATTGTATAGTCGGGTCTAATCTTCATTTTCGTTTTTTTAACAAAAATATTCATCCACCGAATTAAACTTTGCATCGTTTGGAACAGATTTTTTTGTTTGGAACAGATTGTTTTTAATAATTTTTAAATTTTTTAATTAAAATATGATATAAAAAAATTAATATGTTTAAAATGATTTTTTAATTTTTTACCAAAATTATTCAAAAAATAGAAAGAAAAAAAAATCTTTGACTTTTTAGTAGTCTCGTTTGAGAACAGGCTAATTTAGTAATTTTTTGACTCTTTGACTAAAATATAAGAAAAAAAACTAGTATGTTACTTTTTGACTTTTTACGAAAAAATGTGCAAAAAATAGAGAGAAAAAAAAATTTTTGACTTTTTAATATGAGTTGTTGACTTTTTAATTTTTTAATAACTTTTTGACTTTTTAACTAAATCAACCTCTTGCCAAATAAGACCAAGTTACTAACTTTTTAATTTTTTTAATGATTTTTAACTTTTTAATTAAAAATTTCACTTGTCCAATGAGGCATGGAATCGAATTCGATTCTCTCTCTACTCTTTATCTCTCTATATATGTAATCCAGAGCTTTTCCGCTATATTTGGATTGCAGGGTCGATATGGGTTTTGAAGACTGATGTGGAAGATGATGATGGAGAAGAGGAATTTGCTTGCTGCTATGGCTTCTATGGGTGTGATAGAGATGACAGCGGAATAGGTTGAGGTCCGGCGGGCAGTCAAGGCGAGGTTGCCGCCCGCCGGTGAAGCAAGAAATACTAAGGTCTTAACCTTGCTCTGATACCATGTAAATAATAACTGATGTATTATTATTGATGTGTGTATATTGTGTATATTACAAGGATTTATATAGGAGAGGATTTGGGAGTAGGTGAAGGTGGTAGTGGAGGTGGTAGGTGGAGTGGGTGGTAGTATTTACTTTTACAATTTACATTAACATTGATAAATATAAGATAATGTTAATTTTGTTATCACGAGACCAAAAAAACAACCTTGCTCCTAAGCTTGAGTATTTTTTTAGTTTATAGAAACGGAATGTTAAACGATCATAAACTTTAAACAAAAATATTATTATTTTAAATGATTACTAGTGAGTTACATTATCATTTATCTATTTTACACAATTAACAATTAATATTTATTGACGATTATTGACAGCTGTTGAATCATGTTTGTTTATAAGGTTAGAGAGTAGAGATTAAATTGGAAATTACACTAAACCTCCATATTACTATTTGTTATATGTTACTTCCTATTTTATTTTGGGAGTTTAATTCTAGGCCTGATAATCCCAACTATTCATTTAGCGCTTCTCTATCAAAATAATTAAATTTTAACTAAAAATCTATTTTTCTATTTTACCTACCTATCTTTTTAAATATAATCTCTAACAAACTCTCTGTTATTTATTTCATTTATTGAGTCATCTCTCCCTAACTATAGGTAGCTAATGGTTTTGTTATTCAACTAAAGTAGTTAGTCAATAATTGAGTTTGATGGAGTGTGTTTCTATGATTTATGTGCTATAAAATAGTCAGGAAAAAACTCTAATGAACTTGATAATGATGATCTTAACAGAATGAACAATAAAGATGAGTTGTGAAAAAAATCAATTTTATTAAATATTACTAGACACAAAAAATTTATATTTTATTTTTCAAAATGAATGGTACTTATGAATTTTAAATTTAAATCATTAATTTTATAAAATAAAATATAATTTATTTGTCTATTTATCTATATTTGACAGAGTTGATTTTTTGGATAAACGATTTTCACCGTGAGGCTTGCAAGATAAACCAGTTAGATCATTGTTGTGGCCCTAAAATAGAATCCACAAAATAAAATATAAAAAAATATGAAGAGTAGTAATATGGAGATGATTTATTCCAAATTAAATCAGTAATTTGTGAGTTTTACAATATTCGTGTTTGTTTAAAAAAATATGTCATGAAATTGTTTGACTAATAGTAGAAAGATCTATCTCAACAAAATTTAAGAAGAATTTTTAAAATTATAATAAAATGACAAATATAGATCATTAATTTTAAATTTTGACAATACATTGCATTTTATGAAATTGAAATAACATGGAAATCTTCATTCTATTTGTAAAATGAAGATAATAAGAATTTCCCTAGTTGAGGTCTCTATTAACTTAAAGAATAATTCTATACATATTAACAATCTTACTAAAAATACAAATGATCAAATGTGATTGTTTATCAAAAAAATAAGTATCTAAACCTCCAATGATAGATACGAGTTGGGCTGCAAAATGGACAGAGCCGTTCGTGAATAGGCTCGAGTTCGGTTTTGGTAAAAGCTCGTTCGAATTCGGTTTGTTAATTTTTTTTTGCGTTCGAGCTTGAGCTCGAGCTCGTTAAATTTTTAATAAACAAACCTATTGTAAAGCTAAAATTAAAATTAGAAACAAAATCATAAAATATGTGAATCACAACAGCGATCATCATGTAAGTAACAGTTACCATACCTGCTGCTTCTCCTTTCTCCTCTGGATCAAATCCTAACCTAAGATCATGGACACAGAGAAGAGAGATGGAGGTTAGAGAGAGAAAGAAAGAGAAGGAGAGAAATGAGGAACACGAAGGAGTGAGACATATGGTTGTATGTATATATAGATAGAGAGAAAAAGAGACAGAGAGTTGGATTCATACATAGAAAGTAGCTTACCGATTATAAATCTCGATTATGAATCGATCGAAATCTTCATCAACAGCCGATCGAAATCTTCATCAACAGCCGATCGACATCTTCAAATCTTCATCAACAAATCGATCAAAATCTTCAAATCTTGAGAGTGAGATTCAAGCGAGATTCAAATTTAGTCGAGCGAGAGAGATTTAGACAGTGAGATTCAAGCGAGAGAGAGTCGAGCGAGAGAGAGATTTTGAGAGAGAGAGAGATTAGGCAACCACAGGAAATGAGGCACACCACCGTTGGAGACAAATTTGGGAAATAAGAGTGAAAGGGAGATATAGGTCTGCTTTAGATGATTTTTTTTTATTTTTTTATTTTTTTAAATTTTAAGAACACTATTGTTTTAACTGATTTTGTGATTTTTTTAATGTAAAAGTGACTTTTTGCGACGGTTAAATAATCAGTCGCAAAAATATAGACGCAAAAAGTCATATTTCTAGGTAGTAGATATTATTATTTTAGTAAAATATGAATTTTTTTTTAGTATGTTTATATATATTGCATATATAATTGTATAATCAAAGTTTTAATTGTAACTTTAGTCTCACATGCAAGTATGAATTTATAAATTTTTTAGTTTGTTAAGGTTTGTGAACAGGCTTGAGCTCGAGTCGAGTCTAAACCAACTCGGCTCGAGCTCGGTTCGTTAAATTTTTATTCAGCTCGAGCTCGTTAAAATTTTAATAAATAAGTCCAACCATACTAAAACTCGGCTTGACTCGACTCGTTTACAACCTTAGATACGAGTATTTTTAATAAGATTGTTACTAAGATTTTAAATAGATGTAACATTACTTTAACTTAAAATAATTAACAACCATTGAATCATTATTTAGTTCTTCAAAACAAACAATTATTAAACATAGTGAGATAAAATTAACTTTTGTGAAATTTATATCTAAACAACTATGAAAAGATGTTAATTTATTAATGATCCTACGACCATTTTGTAAGAATCAAATAATGTTAAAAACATTTATACTTTCTATAAACATTTGCAGTTTATGAATAATTCTAAAAGATAAACGCAAAAAGTGAATCTATTTTGAATATTCCTTATTCTCCATTTTGTTCAAAGTTATACATCGTTAAACTTTAGAAAATGATTTAAAAATTTACTTTTTAATTTAAACTATTTTTTTTAGACGTATAATTGATATTATTGGTTGATAATTAAAAAAATATATTATATTAAATATCTTAATTGATTGTTATATCATTAAATTTAAAAGATAAATATAATTTTTAGACTTGAATAAATAATAGATCGTTTTGAAAAATCAGTTAAAAATTACCTTTTTTTGACTTTTTAAAAAATATATAAAAAAATTAAACTGATAATATAATTCAAGAGAGGTTAAAAGCTCGTCTAAACAGTACATAAGGTGATCCAAAGGCTGTACCTCTCGAAAAATTATTGTTTGCTTCTGGAGCAAGATGAGATAGTGCTTCAACTTGATTGTGATTGGTTGAATCAGCGGAGTTTATCACATTTTTATCTCTT